TTTTTTTTTTTTTTTTTTTTTTTTTTTTTTTTTTTTTTTTTTTTTTTTTTTGTCTTTTTCCGTGTCCGGCAACGGATCGCAACCCTCAGTGTTGCCCCCGCGCCTCGCTCAGCCAGTGAGCGGGAACCGGTCTGTATGTGGGATCCGAACCCTCGGGCGGGAGCGCCGCCGCGCTTCCCAAGCGGCGCACTTATCCAGTGCGCCACCGGGCAGGCCCTGATTCTGTGATTCTTAACAAAGCACTAGTACCAAAAATAAATATATATTATGCCATTAAATATTTTTAAAAGCATTTGTTTTTAAACACAGGTGGAATGAACTAGGAGGATGTGTGATTCCCACTGGTCGCCTGCAGGTAAAGATGACATTATATTCAGAATGAATAGAATCTGTATCCACAGTGTGTAATGTTTTCTGTAAGCAACCATGGAGAGAGATACATCTTATTTAATGCAGAACTAGTAATCATTAGAGAATGATCTTTAAAAGCTTTACTGCTAGTTTAAGTTTCATGAAGGATGTACAGCTGAAATAATATGGCCTGTGGATTCTTTCTATATACTAAACTTTATTATTGGAAATAGAAACACAAACAGGAACGTGAAAAGAATAAATTAGAGTGACTTTAGAAAACAAGCCAGGTACGTACACTATATATGTTAACTATACATTAACAATGATATGGCTTCAACCACTGAATATTTGGTTTTTATAGTAAAAGAGGTATATCAGAAAAAAGCCCGTATTTTACCAATTGGTACATGTAGAAAATGTTAGCTATATATCTTGTTAAACTAAAGAAGTAAATTCATATGTAGACCAATTTAATGATGTCATTGCAGCAATATTAAGTGAGCAGCAAATATAAACATATAATTTTAAAAAATATTCTTTTTTATCTTGACCTTTAACTTTACATAAAACTAAATAATTAATATTTGTTCAGGAACAACACTCACCACCTTTCTTCTGCTTCTTTTTTTTTTTTTTTTCTTTTTTTTTGTCTTTTTCCGTGTCCGGCAACGGATCGCAACCCTCAGTGTTGCCCCTGTACCGGACCGGGGACCGGCAACGGGATCGCAACCCTCGGCGTTGCTCCCACGCCTCGCTCAGCCAGTGAGCGGGAACCAGTCTGTATGTGGGATCCGAACCCTCGGGCGGGAGCGCCGCCGCGCTTCCCAAGCGGCGCACTATCCAGTGCGCCACCGGTCCGGCCCCCCTTTCTTCTGCTTCTTAAAGAAAATAAATCTAAAGTAGTATGGAAGGAGTTTTGGTGACTGAATAGTGTTGAAAATCTTAAGGTATTTCTCTTTAGACTGGTGTTCTTCGAACCAACTGCGTAGACTGTTTAGATCGCACCAACACAGCACAGTTTATGGTGGGAAAATGTGCTCTGGCCTATCAGCTGTATTCCTTGGGATTGATTGACAAACCTAATCTACAGTTTGACACAGATGCAGTAAGGTAAGCCTTATTTTCTACCATCTGACTGCCAGTAATGACAGAAAGCAAACCTGATTAATAAGAATTTTTGTGAACTCACTTCTATTTTTAGCTTCTCAAAAATTATGTTGCTAGAAGATATTATTCTAATTAGTTCTGCAATACATATTTCTATTAAAGACTTCTGTATAATTGCCATGGTTTTTGGATTTTTTCTGCTCATGTTAATTATAAGTAAACACTCTGTTCTTTAGATAAATTCCAAAGTGCTTAGACAAACTAGTATGGTTTTTTTAAAAAATAAATCCAGTTTGCATTAAAAAAAAGTACTGCACTTCATACGTTTTGATCTAAAAATAGAAGACATATAAAAGATTGATTCTTCATCAAGGATTACTGTTTCTTCACTGTCCATTAGATCCATGACATGCATGAAGTACTATTTCTTGAAAATACAAGGATAGCTACTATTGCTCACCTGAGATTGTCATAAAAGCTCAGCCAAGGGAAGTAATCGGTTTACAAATGGCCAGATCCACAGGTATCAGCACACTGACAATGTTAACGGCCCTTGAAGAAACACAGTTTCAAACATGTACATGTTTCTAAGAAAGAATATGGTTTGTCTGCTATGGTCTGAATGTTTGTGTCTTCCCCAAATCCATATGTTGAAATCCTGGTTCCCAAAGAGATTGTAGTAGGATGTAGGGCCTTTGGGAAGTGATTAGATCTGAGGATGGAATCCTCCTGATTGGGATTAGTGCCCTTATAAAAGAGACCACAGAGACCTAGCTAGCCTCTTCCACCATGTACGGACACAGGGAGAAGACACAATCTATGAACCAGGAAACTGGCTCTCACCAGACACCCTATCTGCCGGCATCTTGATCTTTAACTTAGCCTCCAGAACTGTGAGAAATAAATGTTGTTTATAAACCTCCTAGTTTATGGTATTTTGTAACAGCAGCCCAAACAGACTAAGACACTATGACAAGAGTATATCCTTTCTTCAAAGGCAATTCAAAGAGCACAGAAAATTTTGTCATGGGTGGTGAATTGATTTGGCAAGCTGCAAAAAGTTAGGAGTCTTTTATATGGTTAGAACCATCTTTGTCTGGCTTTTGTGGGTTATATTTTTGGTGCCCCTCTTTCCTTTTTGGTGTTTTCTGTCACTTTGATGCTTATTGGAATATCACTATGAAATATAATACATTTTGCATTTGCATTTATCCTCAAGATGTGGAAAAGAAAGACTCAGAATAATTTATAAGGTAAAAGACTTGTTTTGAGTCGGTTGCTAGGTAAAAACCTTGTGCAGTCATTTTGGTAAAATTCTTTAATGTGAGCTTTTCTTTTGCTTAGGTTATTTGAAGAACTTTATGAAGACCATGGTGATACCCTATCTCTTCAGTATGGTGGTTCTCAACTTGTTCATCGTGTAAAAACCTACAGAAAAATAGCGCCATGGACCCAGCACTCAAAAGACATCATGCAAACCCTGTCTAGATATTACAGCAATGCTTTTTCAGGTAATTCTGGAGTATTAGGTATTTCTTAAGATTTACTCTTTTGTACGTTTTTCTTCTTATACATGTACTTTTTTTTTTTTACCTGCTTAAGTAAAATTAAATATTTTAAAAGTTTAAATAAAACAGTCTATCACTTAGAAAGTGCTTAATAAATACTTGTTCGACAAATGAATAAATAAACATTTTGTATTTTAAATAGAGCACTTTTGCATTTTGGTACCCATACTTGCAGTTTTTAAATAATGCAACATGCTTGGATTTCTTGGCTTCTGTCTGCTATATTTTTCCTTGCAATATAGATAAAATTTTTTGAGGGTATCCAATCATTTTTTTTTAATGTGTTCAAAGTCTTGACCATTATCTAAGAATGTAAATATTGCTGAGTTTTTAAAATGAAAGCTAGAATTGAATAGTAATATTAGCTTTATATTATACTCATTAAATTACACTTTTTTGACTTGTGGATGCTGAATGTAACAGGTTGTTAAAATGGCACTTTTCCTGCCTCCACTCTGATGGAATTGACAAAACAATAGATTCATAGACCACCGTGATTGTGAGAGAAATCCCCACACACAGAATTTACAAGGAAAGTGTTTAGTGTTCAATTCCGTGAATCCTCAGCCCTTGAACCATGTTAAGGATAAAAAAGTTTACAGAATGTGGAGTTGTTGTTTGGTAAAGAGGTTCTTCGGAGTGAACTGTTGCCAGCAATGATTGCCACCACTCCCACTTCTTCAACTCAAGTGCAGAGAGATTGGGCTTCAACAGGACTCTAGGCGAGCTTTGATGTGGTATCCTGCCATTCGAGGGAACCCAGGCATAGTCCTTGGACTGCTGCATAAGAAATCTAAAGCAGAGGGATGGGCTGACAGGAGTGTTGCCTTATTGGGAATTGCCTGCACTCCTGGAGTTGGTTGGGCCAAAGGATACTTGAGTGTTTACTGGTAACCAGATGTGGGCCTCATGGAGAAGGGTGCCAGCAAGGGTTTATCCTGGGTCCTGGCCAGTAAGGCCCCTTGAGGGACAGAGAGAACCTCACAGCAAGAACCAGAAGGTAAACACTGGATACCTAAGGAGCTAAGAAGGAGTTGCGGGAAACTGCCTGATTAAAAAAAAGAGGCATGTGCCCACACCAACGGAATTGCAACAGTCTCCAGTGGTTGGAGTCTTGGAAACATTCCTGAAAGTGTCCACAAAGTGTCAGCTTTCAACATTTTCTAGGCCCAGAGAGACTACAAAGCCAGTCTGCTCTGCTCTGCTCAAGAGTATTAGTTTTCTATGCTATGTAACAAATTAATACAAATTGAGCAGCTTAAAACAGCACACATTCATTATTTCATAATTTCTGTGGGTCAGAAGTCCAAGTACAGTTTAGCTGGGTTCTTTGTTTAGGGTCTCACAAGGCTGCAATTAAGATGTCAGTCAGGCCATCGTCTCATCTGGAGGCTTGGCTAGAGAAGGATCTACTTCCCAGCTCATGTGTTTGTTGGCAGAATTCAGTTCCTTGCAGGTGCTTGTGGCTATGGGACTCATAGCAGCTTGCTTCTTCATAGCTGGCAAGGGAAAGAGAGTCTGTAGAATGAGTCTGCTAGCAAAATAGAGTCTCTTATATAACTTAATTTAATCATGGAGTGAAATACCATCATTTTCTCCATATCACATTGGTCAGAAGCAAATCACACCTCCCCCACCAACATACCCCCCCACACACACACACACAGGAAATCCGTATCAGTTTCCTAGGGCTGCTTTAACAAAATACCACAAACCAGTGGCTTAAAACAACAGAAATTTATTATCTCACAGTTCAGGAGGCTAGAAGTCTGAAATCAAAACACCAGTAGGGCCATGTTCCCTCTGAAACCCATAGAGGAGGATCCTTCCTTCTTTCTGGCTTCTGGTGGTTGCTGGCAATCCTTGGCATTCCTTGGCTTGTGACTGAAACACTTCAGTGTCTGCCTCTGTCCTCACATGGTATTCTTCCCTCGTGTCTGTCTTCATGGTGTTTTCCTCCTCTCTGGTGTCTCTCCTCTTCTTATGAGGACACCAGTCCTATTGAATTAAGGGCCCACTGTTCTCCAGTGTGACTGCATCTTCACTTGACTATATCTACAAAGACCATGTTTCCAAGTAAGGTCGCATTCACAGTTACTGGGTACTTCTGGGACTTCAACATATCTGTCTGGGAGACACAGTCCAACCTATAAAAGTTGTGGGGTAGGTGAAGGGATGTAATTATAAGTCATGTGCCAACAAATACATATCCCTCTGGGTCACCATGAAAAACTTTTAGAGCTGCCTCGATGAAAGGTCTTCTGCTCCTCTGCCCCTTTCCTGTCATCATTGTCCCCATAATAGGGGTCATTATTGTCACTTAAGAACCAAGTGATGTGCTTTATAATGAGACTAGAGGGCAGAGAGAATGAATGTGTAGCTGTACATGATTAAAAAATAAAGGAGTAATATTAAAAGAGAGAGATGGGTATGAGAAAGTGTTGTGCACATAAGGGGGAAGGTAAGCCAAAATTATGCACAACTGAAAGAGGAACTACTATGAAAGGAATTGTTTTATGCAGAACGTGGCTAAAACAGACTTCTTTATTTTAAGAACCATGGTGTCATTGGGGTGTACAACTTATTTTTAAATTACAATGGGTATTATATAATGATGATAATATGTTATAAAACAATTTTCTTTAAAGCACTCAAGATAACTTTGTAAAACTTAATCAGTCTCCTCATGTTATGCCTCTGGGCAGGGCAGGAAGATACTTACTGATTAAGACACTAGAACAGTGAAATTAGGTTACTGGGAATTATACCATTGGTAAAATAGATGGTATGTGGGCAACTCACCTGACCCTCTTTCCGGCTTGTTTTAATAACTGTTCTTGAGGCTTCATATACTAGCTTGTCTCTAAGAAGCACCTTTTGCTTTCTAACATAACTAGTTACATAGGCAGACACATGTGCAATTTGAATGTAATGAATGTGTGTGTGTGCATGCATGGAGAGGAATCATGTCCTCTTCAAACAGAGATTTAAAAAGAAAAGCTCACAGGGCAAAGATTTAAAAGCTTACTATGCATGAAAAGCAGTGATCACAGAAGATGGTGTTAAGATGACTTCCCCTGGCATTATGATAGTGCTTTGAGGTACTGCCAACAGTTTCTTTCCCTTTCTGCTCACTACAGAAAGAGGGACTTGCAAGGGAATGTGCTGAGAACATTTTAATTTATCAAGAAGAGTAAGATAGCCTTCTAAGGTCATCCTTCAAACAGCAGGTTTTGAGTGAATAAGCTGTATTTGGCTATAGCAGAAAGAAAACAATTGGAAAAATGTTTTGTTTAAATAACATTTTAAATAACATTGTTAACTGTGGTTAAAATCCAACTCTCTTCACTTCTCCTGTGAACCAAAGCAGTTAAACATGGCAAGAGAAAAAGTTGCAAATTATTACTCTTAGTTTAAATTTACTACAGTTCTCCAAAGGACACTCAAAACAACCCGACAGTCCTACTGTATTTCCCTAGTCTGTTCATTCTTCCACTCTCCAAAATGACCATTTCATACCTTGTTCTCTCCCTATAATCCTATAACATCCCATTCTCAGCTGATGATCTTGCTTCATACTTCATTGGGATAATAAAAGTCATTAGAAGGGAACTCCCTCCTCTTATCACCTTATATTGTATTATAGTTCTTGGAGTGTTCCTGCCCTGTCTTAAGCCAAGCCCTCCGCTGTTCTCTGAATCCCAGCCCTTCTTGTTTCCCCCGTAATCATACGCTCGTTGCTGTGCATCATCAGTTTCTCCCTCTCTACTGCATCATTTTCATTAACATAGAAGCACACCTTAGTGTCTTCTATCCAGCCTTTCCATATATTCCTAATCCCACATCCCCCTCCAGTCCTATTTCTCTACTCTCCTGAGCAAAAACTTGAATAAGTTGACTACCTGCCTGTTTTCTCTCTCATATCATTTTCTTTCCACCTGTTCCATTGGGCTTCTACCCTATCATGACACTGAAACTGTGCCTCTCAGAGTTATCAGCAATCTTCTCATTGCCAAATCCCATGGTCACTTGTCTCCATCTTATTCAACCTTTCAACAACTTTTATCACAGTTGACCATTCCTTCTCCCTTGAAACTCAATCTGATATCTCTTTCAGCCTCCCTGTTGACCTTTCCTGTCCTATTTCTAAACTCTCCTTTTCTCCTCTCTTTTTACACTGTAACTCTAGGGGCATCTCAACCCCTAGGGTAAAGCCATCATGGCTTAAGAACCATGCATTTGACACTCAAATTTATACCTCTAAATGACTTCTCCATGAACTCCAGACTCATTTATCCAAATGCTTACCTAGCATCTACTCTTGGGTATCATATTAGTTTTCCATAGATGCTATGACAAATTATTACAAATTGAGTGGTTTTAAACAACACCTATTTATTACAGTTTGTGTGGGTCTGAAGTCTGGGCATAGCATTACTCAGTTGTGTTCCCTGCTTAGGGTGTCACAAGGTTGAAGTCAAAATGAAGTCAGATGAAATAAAAATAAAATCAAAATGTCAGCTGACCTGGGCTCTTATCTGGAAGTCTTCTGGCTCATTCAGATTGTTGGCAGAATTCCATGCAGTGGTAGGACTGTTGCCCATGTCTTTGCTAGCAATTGGTAGGTGCTGCTATCAGTTCCTGAAAGAAAGTGAGCCAAGATGCCAGGTACCATTCAAGCTTTATTAAAGGAAAAGAATCTGCCAGGCTGCATTCAAAGTGATGGGCAGCCTAGGGCTGCCCTCAAAGTGGAAGGCAACACCAGGTGTGGGGGTGGTAGAGCTTATATAGGGCTCCAAGGACGGCTGATACCATCAGGGAGGGGTATTATGCTAATGTGGAAACTGTGGGATCAGGGTGGAGAACTGTGTCGTTGCAAAAGCAAAAGGGTTTCTGTTTAAGTAACAAGTCTTCTCAGCTTCTCATAAAGGGAAGGGGGGAGGGGTTTGGTGCTGGAGTGGAAGACAAGGCCTGCAGCTATTTTGTGCTTATTGTGTGCACAATGGCGCCCCCAGTCACGTCCAAGATCCATCAGTTCCTAGAGGATGTTTGCATTCATTGACTTTTGGCCTGCTCTATTTTAAAGCCAGCAATGGTGTATCAAATCCTGCACTGAATCTATCTTCATATCTCTCTGCCTTGCCCTTTAGTCTTCCTCTTCTACCTTCCTCTTCTGCCTTGAAAGGATTCATGTAATTACAGTGGGTTTACCCAGATAATCCAGGTTAATTTCCCTATCTTGATGTTGGTGATTAGTAATCTTAATTACATCTGCAAAGTTCCTTTTGTCATGTAATATAAAATATTCATGGGTATGACACTAGGGAGCAAAGGTCATGGAGGCCAGATTTCTTCCTACCATAGCTATCTAATAAGAATCTCAAACTCCTGAAACTGAAATTCTTGACTGTATTAAACCTATTTCTCCACTTGTTTTTCCACCTCAACACACATTGCACAGTTCAGAAACGTAGGAACATCCTTGAATCATTTATTTTTCTCATCACCCCTCCCCAATCCCATCTGTCAGCAAATCTTGTTGGCTCTCTCTCCAAAGTATATCCCAAATCTGCTATGTTTCACTCCCTCTGCTGCCTCACTAGTCCACACAACCATTACCTCTTATCTGAACAACTGCAGTAGCTCCTAATTTGTCTTTCTGCTTCCACTATTTTAGTCTTGCTCTTCACAGCAGCCAGAGTGATTTTTTCAAAACTTAGATCACATCACTTCCCTCTTTAAAAACCCTTCCAGTGCTTCCCATTGCACTTGAAATCAAACTCTTTACCATGACCTATAAGGCCTGTATGGTCTGGCCCCATCTGTCTCTAATATTGCTCTTTTGCTCTCCCGCTACCCTCCATCCTTCTTGCTCAGCTCCTTCCCCCTTCAAGCCTTTATAGTTGGTTGTCCTTCTGCTTAGGCACAACCCCCAAAGCTCTGTGTGACCACTTCCTTCTTATCTTTACAGTTCAAAAGTTACTTCCACAGACATTTCATAATTTTCAAAAGAATCAGAAATAGCCAATGAGCATACAAAAATCCAACTTAGTTACCAAACAAATGCAGATTTACCCTTTACCCTTTTCCCCAGCAACCCAATCTAACTGTCCAACAACCCAGTCTAACTGCCTTTCTCCTTTCTCATCACTCTCATGTCACTCTGTTTTATTTCCTTCATAAAACTTGCATACTCTAAAAGTGCCTTGTCTGTCATTTACTTGTATATATTTTTGTTTCCTTCTGTGAAGTGTAAGCCTATGAGAGCCAGGTCCTTGTTAGTCTTTTATCCCCAGTGTGAGACGTAGTAGATTCTTGAATGAATGAATTTTTTTTTTTAATTATTAAAGTAATATGTGTTCATTATAGAAAGTACAGAATAGCTCACAAATAAATCATAATCCCCACCTTCCAGAGATAACCTCTTGGTGATATTTAGGAGAACATAATTCTCCTGGTTTTACTATGTGTGTAATTTATAATCTGCTTTTGCCCTTGTAGATAATATGAATAATGTTTATGGTCTTAAATATTCTTCTACAGCATGATTTTTAGTAGCCTTAAGGTATTCTATCCTTTAGAAGCATTATAATTTAGTTCTTTGTTATTGCACATTTAGAGTCCTTCTAAACAATTATCTTTGAACATATACTTTTTTATTGCATATCTTTGATCTTTTTTCACGAAAATTTCAGAAGCATATTTATTAGGTCAGAGGGTATAAATACTTTCCAGGGTTTAATGTATGGATATATATGAGATTACTTCAAAAAGTTCATGGAAAATTTGTATTATCTTTAATTCTATTTTTCCACAAACTTTTTGAAGTACCCTTATGTATGTGTGTGTATATATGGAAATTGCCTTTCAGAAAAGACATAATAGTTAATGCTCCCCTCAGCAGAGTATGGAAGTGTCAATTATGGAAAGTATTTTGCCAACTTAATAGGTAGAAAAAGGTATATTGTTTTAATCTGCATTTGTTTGATAACTAATGAAGTTGGATTTTTGTATGTTCATTAGCTATTTCTGATTCTTTTGGAAATTGTGTGTACCTATTTTTCTATTAGGGGGTTGATCTGTGTCTTTCTTACATTTGATTGGTATGTCTTTCAATGCATGGTGTGAGGTAGGGATCTAACTTTATTGTCTCCTTCCCCCCAGTAGTTAAACATTACTATTTATTGAGTAGTATTTCCTTCTGTTACTAATTTCAAGGCCACTTTATCACCAACTTAACTTAATATTAGAATAACAAATATTTTAGTTACAAAATAAAATTTTTAGCTAATTAAAAAAAATTGTTATATTCAAACCTGATCTATTTAAATATAGTGAAGAATAAATCTGGTTAGAGTTTAACTCTTTGAATGGTGTTTGAATGGTGCACATTCTTTTATCCTTTATAGCATAATTGAGTATAAAAAAACAGATAATAATTTTGTCCTCTTGTACATAACTACAGAGAATCTACCTGTTTTAAACTCTTGTCCATATCCAAAGTACTACCATTTTTCTTGGGGTGGCTTTCTTATTTGCATTCAAAAGTAGCCAGGAGAAGATCCTCAGGCTCATTAGAGCTGGCCTTTGACAGTTCTTAGAGATGAATAAATCTGGTTAGAGTTTAACTCTTTGAATGGTGTTTGAATGGTGCACATTCTTTTATCCTTTATAGCATAATTGAGTATAAAAAAACAGATAATAATTTTGTCCTCTTGTACATAACTACAGAGAATCTACCTGTTTTAAACTCTTGTCCATATCCAAAGTACTACCATTTTTCTTGGGGTGGCTTTCTTATTTGCATTCAAAAGTAGCCAGGAGAAGATCCTCAGGCTCATTAGAGCTGGCCTTATAGCCCAAGCTTAGTAGGTGACTGTAAACATCATAGATATATTTTGTTATAATTACAGCAGTACTTTCAAGAAGTCTTCTTTATGATCCTTTGAAGAAATATCCCATTAGAGCTGGCCTTATAGCCCAAGCTTAGTAGGTGACTGTAAACATCATAGATATATTTTAAGTTATAATTACAGCAGTACTTTCAAGAAGTCTTCTTTATGATCCTTTGAAGAAATATCCTTTTTTTTTTTTTTTGGTTATGTTTCTCACATCTTACATTTTACTATACTTGCTAAAGATTAAAGGAAGCTACTATTAGGTTTAAAGGATGAAATAAACTCCTTGAAAACATGATTGAAAAATGGAAAGCTTCTCTAGATAGTATTAACATATTTTGAGGTACTACATAGAATGGACTATTAAGTGCCATTAAGGCGATTCAAGAAGCATAAAGAATATAATTACTATAAGACTATAAGACCAGTATGTTTTCTTTTGTATTGTGTTAAAGAGGGTACAAATTGGGGCAGTAATGTCAGCATAATTTAATACTTGATGTTTTCTCACAAGTGGAAAAAAAGGCCCCAAATATATTTGGTACATAAACACATCCCTTTAGTATATTACTTTCAGCCTGAAAGGTAAGTGCTGTTTTAACAGAATGCTTCCTGTCAAATATTAATAACTGGAAAACATGTTCGATGTACCATATATCATTCATTTGCTTTTGCTGAAATGATCAGATAACCCAATGAGAACAATGTTGCTAATTTCAGACATATCTGTGTTCACTAGCTGTTGGAAGAAAATTGATTTTATGATAATGTTATCTTGTTCCAAAAGCAGTCATTTCTACTGTGTTATCTTTTTAGTCCTACACTCATTTTCAGAAAGAGGTTATTTATATTGTGGATGTCTGCCACAAGCTTGAATATACAAGGTTCTGAGACAAGAATGGAAAGGAGAAAATGAAGGATACTAGGAAGGAGAAAGCATGGAATGGGAAGGGTGTTTCATGAAACCATTTCAGTGTTTATTATCATTTTTACCAAAATATAATCAGGAAAAAGAAGAGGAAATTATAGTTTTGTTAGTTCGTAACATAGCTCAGAAAGGTAATTTTCGAGTGGTTGAATAGTTAGAAAGAGGCTGTTATTCATGTGCTGCCTGTGCCTTCATTATCAATCACAAAAGAGAATGGGCCAAGCTCACAGCTGCCGATGGGGACAGAAAACATTGCAAACATTGTCTCTGTTGAAAAAAGGGATAATATCTTTTCAAGGATTAAAAGTGGAAACTAAGCAACTGACTTATTCAAGGTTGTGCAACAGAATCTGAATAGGAATTGGGTCATTTTATTTGTTTCTGATGTCTCTGCTTGTCTTTGTGTAAAGATGTATTTACTTCAAGAAAACTAAGATGGTGAGGATATGTTTTCATTTAAAAAATAAAGTCACAAGGTATTATGACAGTTCTTAGAGATTTTTAAGAGTGTCTCAAAATTCAAGAAACATTTTGTGTTCTCTATCCTCTATATTATGAGAGGTATGGAACAAAAAGGAAACATTTTGAAGCAAGATTTTATTCTGCTCAGAATCTTGCTGACTATTTTAGATTGTATGTGTATGACGTTTGAAGTATAAATACTACTTTTATTTTTAGAGATATGTTATATGAAATCACAGTTGTTATCACTGTCCTCCTGAAAAAATACTTTCTTGAGGTGTATACGTCAGTAGTGGATTTTCTGAGACACATATTTTGTTTTTCAGATGCTGATAGACAAGATTCCATTAATCTGTTCCTGGGAGTTTTTCATCCCACTGAAGGGAAACCTCATCTCTGGGAACTCCCAACAGATTTTTATTTGCATCACAAAAATACTATGCGACTTTTACCAACAAGAAGAAGGTATTTTTCTTCTTAGTCTATTATGTAAAGTTAGATTTGATATTATTTTGAATATGAGACACTTTTCTTTTTGAGAAATAATCACATAGGCTGGAGTAGTTCAGTCTTACCACATGTTTGCCATGAGTTTAATGTTGGTGTCCTGGTAGTAGGTTGGGGAAATTGTGTTTAACAATTAGTGGTTTGCATTTTCCCTAAGATATAGATAAAGTTTCAGAACTTCATCATTGAACGTAAGTTGTAGCTCCACTAAAGTAAACCAGCAACATCATTTTTTAACATTTCCCACAACCCTGAAACTCTAAAGGAATAAGTCTTTGATTTTTCAAGTGTGGTATCTAAGAAGCATTTACTTTGTGTTTCCAATTTTTTTTTTTTTTTCTTAGTGACATTGGTAAAGACAGGTAAGTAGAGCAGTGATACTGGTGGCAGATAACCACTCCCATTCCCCCTACCCCCGTTTGGCTTTCTAGAGTCATTCTTTAGGATAGGTTATTTTGATTACAGTTAAATTGATATTAATATTCTCAAAAGAACTGAACACTTTACCTGAAGCATTTTATTTAACATGATACTCTGTGTGGGCCTCAGGGTCAGGGAGAGCTGAGTTGGAATCTCTGGGACCTTGAACTAGTTATCTAACCTCTCTAAGCCTTCTTTTCCTCATCTGCAAAATGTAAATAGCTAGACATACCTCACAGAGTCATCGTGAGAATTTATGTGAAAAATTTTGCTCATGTATCAAAATTGATTGTATTAGTACGTGATTGCTCAGTTAAAAACACTAAAGAGTCTTCTCATTAAATTCTGACAATGAGAGAGGTTAAATAACAAGGGAAGTGTCCGAGTTTATATGTTTCTCAAATTTGTTCTTATCAGTGCATATTATTGGAATGACTAACTTAATAGTTGGGCGTACTTTCCATATAAATGAAGCACTGCTAGTTTTTACATTAAATTTATAATTAATAAATGATAGTATGTGAATTTTTGCTCTTGGAACTAATTATGTTTATTTGGTGAGAGATGGGTGTAAATACTATATTTAGCTTTGCTGATGAGAGTTGACTATAGGTAAATTGATTGATTTTCTGAAATTTTATATTACCTTGAAGTATTGAAACCATTAAGATACAATTTGGGTACACCCAAAACTCAATATTCTAGTGCAAAAAATTAGCTATGTATTACAAGCATAAATTAAACCACTTGCTTACCTTGAGTTACGTAACTAGGGCAGGTGGTTTTGGAACTACTATGTCAGAATAAAAGAAGCTGGTATTACATCCCCATTTTCTAAAAAAGGAAACTGAGGTGCAGAGAGAATATGTCTTGGCTGAGATTATTCAACTAGTTAGGTGATTCAGCAAGAATCAGTTTCAAGACTGCCATTGAAAATAAAATTTTATCAAAGTAGATAATGTGGCTCACTCAGCTGATTTAGCCTCCTGTTTAAGTTTTTTTCTCTAGAATGTCAAAATTCCAAAAATTGTTTTATGGTATCATCAATTGATACTGCTTGTAAACAGTACTTGTAAATACTGTAAGATAAATTTCAGTGTTTTGCTTTGGACTTTCTAGAGTCACCCACCTGTACAGGTTATAAGATTTTGATGACAGTTAAATCAGTATATAATTCTTAAAAGAAATGAACAGTTTAGTCAGAGGCAGTAACAGGACAAGAGTATGGAGTTCAGGCTAGGTAGGATAGAGCTGAGTTGGAATTTCTGCAAGTGTGTAACCTGAGACTTGTTACTTAACCTCTTGAAACTGCATTTTCTTATCTGTAAAATGGAGATGACTATACATATCTCACAGGGTCGTTTTGAGGCTTAAAAGAGAAAATATGTGGAGAGTACTTAGCACTGGTTATGGTGCAGAATAAACACAGTCCTGAAGTAGCCTGCCTCCAGTTAATACCTGGGTGACCATGGGCAAGTTTCTTAACTGGTGTAATTCTGTTTCCACATCAAAATATGGATAATACTAATATCTCTGAGGTTTCTCTGAGAATTAGATGAGATCACATAAATGCTTAGCACATAGTAAGTTCAGTAGGTGTTAGAATTGTTTTTATTCTTTAAGGAGATTACATTCTCTAGTTTTTAAATTTATTAAAAGTTGTACAGATGCCCATAAAAGCTGGAAAACTTAGATTATATTTTATTACTTATTATAATGTAATATCAATAAATACTCTATTAGATATTCATCTGTGTTTTCAAATTTGATGGCCATCCTGATTTTTGTACTCCAATGATTTACTCTGAAAGAGGGAAGGGAGAATTAACCTACCTGCCAAGAGTTCATGTAAACTAGGTCCTCTTGAGATAACTACTTCTACTACCTGAAATCTCACGTTTATTGATCTGCTCAAAACCACTAATTGAAGCTTTGTCCTGAATTTGATTAATATGTCACACATCATCTGAGATACCACTTATTGAGTCAATGTTTATAATGTTGGCAATATGTTTTTAGGTAGCATTAATTATTTCACTGACTCTTAGAGCTGGGAGATTTCCTGGTCCTGCTCCCTGTCTGACATGTGAGTTCTCTGTCTGCAGGGAAAAATCATCTGGCTGGCTTGACAAGCCCTGGTTGGTCAACTGGGACATGTCTTGTAGAAGAGGTAGTTGTTTTTGAACAGTTCTTTTACACAATTCTTCATCACATCGGGTTGAGATCTGCTTCTCTGTAATCTTACCTGCTAATCCTAATTCAGCCCACCAAGACCTTAAGAACACGATTTCCTCATTCACATGATAGTCTTTTAAATATTTGAAGATGAGTTCATAATTCTCAAAATCTCTTCTCCAGCTTAAATAGCCCCAGTTTCTTAAGCTGTTCCTCATATGCTATGGTTTCAAGTCCCACCAGCATTCAGAATACTCTTCTCTGTATGTATTCCAGTTGATGTTATTTTTAAACTGTGGTGCTTATACCTGGATCCAGTAATGGTCAGAATGTGGTCTGATTTGTGCCAGGTGTTGTGGGACTATTGGGACCACTACTCCTCTTGTTCTGGATACTCTGTTTTTATCATTAAGTGTAAGATCCCATTAGCTGTCTTCAGCATTGCTGGCGCAGTGTTAACTCTGTGAGCCTCTGAAGTCCATTAGAACTCCCAGGTCTTTTTAATGTCCTGCTGCCATGACTTATTTACACCATTCTTATCATGCTCATATATGTTTTGCCTGCTTTCAAAAAAGTTTTTAAATGTGTATCCTTTTCATTAACTAATATTTCTAACTTTGTAGCTTCTTCAGATTTAATCAGTTGGCCATCTTGATCCTAATACAAGTCCTTGATGAAATATTGAATAGAATAGGGTGGAAGGCAGAGCCCCGTGGTATATAACACCAGACAACTCCTTCCACCTAGCATTATTTAGTGCTTTTCAGTTGCAATCTTTTAAACAGCAGTAAGTCCTCTTAATTTATACTGTGCCCTGACCACATCTATCTTGTTCACAAATATTCATTGCTTTGCTAATGTTCATAAATGTTGTTTCATAGGGCTCCCAAGTTAGCTTCGAGAGTTAAAAACAGTCTTTTAAAATTTCCCTAACTTTCCTATGTGATCCAATGAAACTGAGCACTCTTAATACTAGGGACTGAAAAAGAGTAGAATTTGACTTATTGGCTATTGTATGCAAAGGAAGAAGTGGCACCACCTTGCCATATCCCATTCTCTGATCCTTGGTCCCACAGCAGGTCCTGGTACAGGGGCTCTTCCTCTGAGTAAATGTGCCTGGTAGTGGAGGTGATGAAGATTCCTCCTGTCCTGGGTTTAGTCTTCTCAGATGTTCTCATCCTCCATTTGTCTCAGCTCATCTTCCCCAAGGCAGGTATTTCTCATGGGTTGCTTTGCTTCTGAGACTCACTCAGAGGACTTGGACTTCAAAAAAGTGTTGTTAAATTGCTTTGTGTTAGTTAGAGAGATATAGTTTAGTAATATTTTTCAAAAGTTTATAGCCTGGCCTCAAGTCACTAATACAAGGTTATTTCTTAATTCTTGTTCTCCAGTTAGTGCATTTTGAGTTAAAACAAATACTTTATAATGTTTACTTCTTTTTCCTAATTAAGGTAATTGTAAGCAACATTCTTTATGGAATTTTTCATATACATAGCTGATACTTTTTCTGCTTTCCTCCTCTGCCAAGGTTAGGTTATCACAGAATAGAGCTTACATCCTAATTAAGGTAATTGTAAGCAACATTCTTTATGGAATTTTTCATATACATAGCTGATACTCTTTCTGCTTTCCTCCTCTGCCAATGTTAGGTTATCACAGAATAGAGCTTACACACACACACACACACACACACACACACACACACACACACACACACACAGCACACCCTCTTAAACAAATTAGCCCATGTCTTTTTCATTCCCCTGATCTGACAGTCTGATTCTCCTATCAAAAAGAAAATGAGATTAGCTTTGTGTGGCTTGTTCTAGAGAATATATGTGAATTCATAGAATTTACTGATTATCTTTTTAGGTCGCTCACAACAAATCTCTAATGCTTGATTCTATTATGTTGCTGAGATTCACATCATTCTCATTGATGTATAGTTTTTTGGAATCTATCACATTTGAGCATCGCAAAATGCATTTGCCCATTCCCATTGTAAGTCCCATTCTTCACTATTAATCTCACCTGCACCAGGATACTTGAATGGTTTTAGAGAGGCTCTACTGCTTTTCTTATCTCTTTTGATGTACACAGTTCTCTCTTGTGTTTTTCTTTCAAGCATGAAACTTCTCATGGCTGGCAAAGTTAGAAACAATACTGGAATTAAGTAGCTCTACCTTCTCTGTCATTTTCTTCACCTTGGTACTTCCAACACATAGAGTAGTGTCTGGTACACAGTAGGCGCTTAATAAATGTTGAACGACTGAATGAATTCTTCACAAGTAGAAGATTATGCTTTCTGTATTCTTTTCATGTGCTAAAGCCTTGCTATTGAAAGAGCAGTTTGAGGGCAAGCCTCCTCGCTATCACCCAGGAGCTTGTCATAAATGCAGAATATCAAGCCTCACCTACTGAACCAGAATCTGTGTGTTAGCAAGATCCCCAGCTGATTCACATGCACATTGAATTTTGAGAAGCACTGCTCTAAAGCATAACTTCAGTCTAAAACAAAACTTTAGGGCCTTTCCTGTTATAATGGCACTTTTCCCCCTCTCATAGTTTGTAAGGCTTTGTGTTCCTTCTTTCGTCATCCTTGGTTATGTATTCTGCTTGCCATTTCTAGGAGTGTTTCTTGTGTTGCCAATTTCATTTGGGTACTCTCCCATTTCCTCATAATTAGAATTATACAAGATTGCAATTTCAGCATTTCATTATTATTTTTTTATTTTTAATTTATTTGTTTACCATTAATATTATTTTTTTACATTCTAAAATGTTGTTGCAGAGCAGTTGGAGGGGGAGGGGAGTGGAGGGGCTGCAGGTAGGGAAATGGAGGTAGGGATGGGGGGCTAGGCTGGCCCATGGCCGGCTCCTTTGCTGACCTGGTTGCATAGAGTGGGGCAGGGACGGGGGTGGAAGTGGCCCACGGCACCCCCCCCCCACTCTAGCTCTGGAGCCCGGGAGGTTTCTGGCAGCAGCACAGTCATCGCCAGGCTGGATGGGGACGTCAGTGGGACGTGGCTGAGGCCCTCAGCCCCCTCCACCCCAGCTTGGGGTCCTGGGGGGCTTCTGATGGCAGGTGGTCAATGGGGACCACAAGCTGGATGGGGACATTTGGGGGTGTGTGTGACTGAGGCCCTTGGACCTCCCTCATTCCAGCTCAGAAGCCAAGGGGCTTCTAGTCCTTCTAGGTTTTATAGGTATTTTTGAGTGGTGCTAGACCTTCACTGGTTAATACAGAACTTTGATCTGTGGGGTTTTGTGGGGGTTTTTTTTCAGTTCCGTGTTGGATTATTAGCTACCCCCATCACTTAAACTCTGCACTGGAACTAATTTGTTGTCCTGTGCTTACTTCTACAATGGGGGATCTTCCTGTCGGGACCAGCGCTTGAGCCCTGTGGTTGAGCTAAATTGCTGCTTTGCTGTTGGTTCTCTGGGGAAGGCTTTTTGTGCAGCTCAGGTTTTAATTGTTGAACTTTTAAGCACTTCCAAGTCTTGTGAGGTCTGGTACACCTGGGTTGTGTGGAAACTCTGGTCTGATCCCAAGTCTTTTCAGCAAACTGCTTCCCTTGCAGTTCTGTATACCTGACCAGTCTCCACTGAGTGGGCCTGTGCATTGGAGCCAGATCAGCTGTCCGTGCTGGGCCCCAGGGTTCCCCCGGTGGGCCCATCTCCCACACTCCAAACACTTCCCACGGTGCAGGCTGTGCGCAGGTCCCTTGTGATGACTCACCGGCCTTTGGATGGCTCCTTTTTTCAGTTGTCTGTGGCGCCTCGCTCATATGTGGGTCCATGGGAGCCCTGTCAGTTGTTTTGCTGGCCTAGGGCCACCAAGGCCCTCCTCTCCCCTGCAGTCTCCAAGCAACTTCACACGAAGGGCACAGCTGCGGTTTTTGCCAGCTCTTGCTCCATGTGCTCACCAGGGCAAACCTTGAAATGTCTGGGGCTCGAAATGGTCGGAGTGGTCCCTTCTTTCTCTCGTTGTAACTTCTCCCGCCTTCATGCACTCTGTAGGTCTCTCCTCCTCATTCCCTGAGCTCTAGCAGCCCCAGCTTGGCAGTCTTTGCTTTTTAATAGTTGTAAATTGGTTAATTTTAGGAGAGAGTGATGCCGGGGACCGTCTATTCCATCATCTTCTCAGCATTTCATTTTTAGAAAGCCTTTTATTTATTTTAAATTATCTTTTTATCATTTTTGGCTATAGACTTTTTTAACTTTTGGAAATCTGTTTTTTAAAATATTTTAGATATATTATTTCACATTATTCCCCTTCCTAACTCTCATGAACTTTGACATAGCACTTTTCCTCTAAATATCCATTTAATAAGATTTTGATTTAAAATTAAATTCAGTGGGCAGAGAGAAGGCAGTTCAGGATTCTCATAGACTCTCTGCTTCTAACAGATAAGTCTTCTAGCAGAAATACAGATAATTGAAATTCCGTACTCTTACTCTGACTGATCTCTATAATCAAGTAGTGAATATATACAGTTAAAGATTAACAGGGCCTATACTGTTTTCTAAGGGACCTTGTTCATTAACACTATCCAATTCATTCCTTAATGATTTTGCTTAACTGTCTTAATTAACTATACACACAGATGGGTACACATAAAGCAGAGTAGAAAAAGTTATCTAACTCTCAGATAACAGTGTTCCAGGGAAAGCTGGTTGTAGGTCTTGGGTCAAGGTTGTACTGCTCACCTGGTGGCAGAGTAACTGCAGGCACAGTCCCTGGGAAAAGTACATAGCAGCTCACAGAGTTGGCTTAGTATATCCAGATCTTTTTTAGCTAAATCAGATCTTGAGTCAAACATCAGAGCATGTTGACTCTCAGGTTTTTAATGGCGTTTTTGTAGATCTGTGACATAGTTGAAACAAGAAAGGGATTGGGAAGGGAATTACCATGTTGAAGACCTACTGTGTCAAAAGCTTTGCAAACATGTTTTAAAAAGGAAAAAAAAAAAACTTTGAAGTAGGAGGCAACGTTTTACTATGAACCATACAACTCCTTTAATCCAATGAATTGTAGAAAACCAACATGTACATTTGGTCCATCTGATCTTTTTTTTTTTTTAATTTTATAGTTATACTTACTGGTGGACACCAGAGGTAATAAAGCATTTACCATTGCCTTATGATGAAGGTAGGTAACTGTTTCTCTTTTAGTTTTTACACTAACATAATTTGGAATTATACCTAAATGAACTTGAAGCATTAAATTCTTTGCATATAATATTTTATTAGAAAGAAATAAATGGCTACTCAGTATTATGTTGCTGTTTTAATATATAGGGGATTGCAACATCTCTTAGCTTCTTAAAGGGAAGGAATTGTGTTATGCTTCTTTTTATCTAAGTAGGCCAATACCTTGTATTGTGTCTTAAAATTGTTAGATATGTCTCTCAAACATTTAGTCAATATAATATAATATATTAGTTCATCATTTTAAACTAGTACTGATTATATTTCTGCATAGTTGGTGGGAATGGGGAGTAAGTAAGGACTCATTCACAAGGGGAAATTAAAACTTTTTTCCTGTATCTAAGCAGTGAAAAAAGGTATGTATGTATAAAAGAACATTTTAGTCACATTTAAATTATTTTATTAACTTGTCAGAGAGCCAGGAAAATTTTTATATTAAAGAAATACCCTCAAATATATAATACATTAGAATGATGTTTCCAAATTTAAATAATTGCCCACTTAATATAGTTTAGTCCTGGCTCTGTTACTAATTCCCCTGACCTTGGACAAGACAGTTTTCCATCTTGAAAGGGTATCTGATAAGCTCTACTGCCAACCAGTAGCACTTCAGTTGAGGACTGCATCTAGTCATGGTTTATTATTATCCCAACTTTGGGTGGTAAAGGGCATAAAGTAAGAAGATTGCAGAGGATTTTTAGTTCTTAATAAATTATTGATTCATTTTGGAAAAGTATTTGTAATTTGAAATTCTGGGGAAAAAAACAGCTCATATTGCTGAGAAAGTTTGGTTCTTCTGGGAGAAAGGAAAGGACTTTAACTGTCTAACACTGGCCATTAATAGGATATTAAATATAAAGGAAATAATGAAATAGCTACGTGATTTTTAGCTAGAATGCAGAAGTTATTCATTTAAGAGCAAAAAGGAATTTAAAGAGCTGAGTAATGTGATTTCTAAAATAACTGCCTGCTCCCACCCAAGACTTCGAGAGGCCCCCCTTACCTCCTTAGAGCTTGTCACACTCAGCTTTGCTGTTCATTTTCTTTGTGCACATCTCATCTCTCTTCCATGCATGGAAGTGCCAGAGGCAGGAGCTGAGCCTGGTTCAGTGCTGTATCCCCCACAGATCTTACCATGGCACTCTCGTGAACACAGTTGATGTTACATAAATGCTTGCTGGATGTAATCTAAAGACTTTTAGAGTAACAGGCAGCATCTCTCTTAGTTATCTGTGCTGCAAACTTAAAGAAGTTGATAGTGAAGAAGTTTCACAAATATGAAGAAGAGATTGATATCCACAATGAGTTCTTTCGACCGTATGAATTAAGTAGTTTTGATGATACCTTCTGCTTGGCTATGACAAGTTCAGCACGGTATGTTGTGAGTACTCTAATGCTGTAAGTATTTGGGAACTGTGGTTTTCCTAGTTCATACAGATACAAGGGTACTTCAAAAAGTTCATGTAAAAACAGAATTAAAAAGATAATACAAATCTGCCATGAACTTTTTGAAGTACCTTTGTATGTCTTACTTTACCAGAAATCCGTTCTGCAAGCCTTGCTTTCAGCCTCTATGTGAATACCTCCTTCAATAGTGATCCCACTACTTCAGGACACAGCCCCTTCTGTTGTTAGACAACTGGCATTAATATCCTCCCTTTGATAAGCTGGAATCTGCCTCCCATTAGTCCTGGTTTGCCATTTGGAATAAACTCAGTTTTTTTATTGAACATAGAAATTGAGAGCTAACATGAATTAGAAGAAAAAGCATCATCTTCTGTACTAGAAAGCCTGGGATTTGAATCTTAGGTCAGCCACTGCCTAACTGTGTGACCTTGAGAAAACATCCAACTTATCTGAGCCTTATTTTCTTCATCACACACACACATGCATGCACACACACCAAGTGCCTAATGTAGTACCTGGCACAGGTAGGTGATTAATAAATGTTAGCTATTATTATATTACTACTTTTATTAGGTACAGGACAAGTCTAGATCCTCTTCAGTATGATAGCCCTCCAGATATTTGAGGAAGCAATACTAATCTTTTTCAGGGTAAATTTCTTTATTTTTTTTTTTTATAACTCATGTGACATGATTTCCAGACTCTCTCCATCTGGTCTTCATAACTCATGTGACATGATTTCCAAAATCCCTCTATCTGGTCTGTCACCTTTGGACATACTTCATTTTTCTGTGTCTCTTTTAGAATTTGATGGGACCTTTTAGTAAAAATGGTGGGACCGGAATAAGAAAATTAGGCAAAGTAAATCTCTTCTTGATTATTATATTTTATACTAAAGTTTAAATGTTTATATTTTACATTTTCTTCAGATGTGTTATATGTGTATCTTAATTTTATGTGGCACATGTAGATACATATTCTGTGGTTTTGTTTCTTAGAAATCTTGCTACATTTTGTTTCAGTTTCAGATGGTCAGGAAAAGTTAGAAATTTTTACTTGCTTGATTTTTCAGTTAAACTTATTAAAGTGCAGTGGTTTTAACTGTAAGGTCTTTGTTATTTCTAGAATTTTTTAACTCAGCAAAGGATAAATGACATTATGTATATATGTTTATGTAGATATATAGTTAATTTTATTTGCGGTAGTTATATTCTATAAAGTCACTGCAAACACTGAGTTAGTGAATACTGAACCATTGCTCCTAAGGGAGATACAGGATTAGGTTCCTGTGAGCCTCTGATCACAACGTTTTCATCAACTGATCAATACATAACCTCATTTTGTGTGTGTTTCTGTTTAAGGATACCTTATTTAATATAAACTATTGATTCATTAACATTGCACTCACGGCCAACAGCACTATATAACTCATGCCTGAATGAAGCTTATGAACACATGTATTTTCTCCGTAAGGCACATCACAGATTTCTTGTGCTTAGAAACACTAGACAGCTTCAGCACTATGCATCAGGACCATTTTAAACAGCAAGATCTCCAACAAAAAGCACAAACAATGTGAAAAACATGGCACTAAATAGACCGTGAAAAAGACACTTGTTTATGGTATAAAAGCAGAAATAGAAAGGCAGAGCACACCTTGTTCAACCTCAGCTGGGAACATAAGCATTGGGTGACTCAATTTTTTCACCCTTCTGTGCATGAACATAGTGAAAATGACTGCAAAGGCACATGAATGTTGATTTGGGGGTTACAAATAAGTCTTAGTGAGTAAGCAAATGTATAAACATGGAATCTGCAAATGATGAGGATTAACTATATATGTTCAAAAAGAAAGAAAAAAATTAAACTAATTACATTTTTAAAACATTTGCAAACTGTTAAAATGGCCATTTTGAGCCACATTCAAGGTTACTTTCTTTTCCTTCAAAAAATGTAATATTCAATCACACACTCAGAGCAATATATCCTTGCCAGAAGCTATGAGTCTTATCAGCGTAAATCATGGNAAGGGCACAGCTGCGGTTTTTGCCAGCTCTTGCTCCATGTGCTCACCAGGGCAAACCTTGAAATGTCTGGGGCTCGAAATGGTCGGAGTGGTCCCTTCTTTCTCTCGTTGTAACTTCTCCCGCCTTCATGCACTCTGTAGGTCTCTCCTCCTCATTCCCTGAGCTCTAGCAGCCCCAGCTTGGCAGTCTTTGCTTTTTAATAGTTGTAAATTGGTTAATTTTAGGAGAGAGTGATGCCGGGGACCGTCTATTCCATCATCTTCTCAGCATTTCATTTTTAGAAAGCCTTTTATTTATTTTAAATTATCTTTTTATCATTTTTGGCTATAGACTTTTTTAACTTTTGGAAATCTGTTTTTTAAAATATTTTAGATATATTATTTCACATTATTCCCCTTCCTAACTCTCATGAACTTTGACATAGCACTTTTCCTCTAAATATCCATTTAATAAGATTTTGATTTAAAATTAAATTCAGTGGGCAGAGAGAAGGCAGTTCAGGATTCTCATAGACTCTCTGCTTCTAACAGATAAGTCTTCTAGCAGAAATACAGATAATTGAAATTCCGTACTCTTACTCTGACTGATCTCTATAATCAAGTAGTGAATATATACAGTTAAAGATTAACAGGGCCTATACTGTTTTCTAAGGGACCTTGTTCATTAACACTATCCAATTCATTCCTTAATGATTTTGCTTAACTGTCTTAATTAACTATACACACAGATGGGTACACATAAAGCAGAGTAGAAAAAGTTATCTAACTCTCAGATAACAGTGTTCCAGGGAAAGCTGGTTGTAGGTCTTGGGTCAAGGTTGTACTGCTCACCTGGTGGCAGAGTAACTGCAGGCACAGTCCCTGGGAAAAGTACATAGCAGCTCACAGAGTTGGCTTAGTATATCCAGATCTTTTTTAGCTAAATCAGATCTTGAGTCAAACATCAGAGCATGTTGACTCTCAGGTTTTTAATGGCGTTTTTGTAGATCTGTGACATAGTTGAAACAAGAAAGGGATTGGGAAGGGAATTACCATGTTGAAGACCTACTGTGTCAAAAGCTTTGCAAACATGTTTTAAAAAGGAAAAAAAAAAAACTTTGAAGTAGGAGGCAACGTTTTACTATGAACCATACAACTCCTTTAATCCAATGAATTGTAGAAAACCAACATGTACATTTGGTCCATCTGATCTTTTTTTTTTTTTAATTTTATAGTTATACTTACTGGTGGACACCAGAGGTAATAAAGCATTTACCATTGCCTTATGATGAAGGTAGGTAACTGTTTCTCTTTTAGTTTTTACACTAACATAATTTGGAATTATACCTAAATGAACTTGAAGCATTAAATTCTTTGCATATAATATTTTATTAGAAAGAAATAAATGGCTACTCAGTATTATGTTGCTGTTTTAATATATAGGGGATTGCAACATCTCTTAGCTTCTTAAAGGGAAGGAATTGTGTTATGCTTCTTTTTATCTAAGTAGGCCAATACCTTGTATTGTGTCTTAAAATTGTTAGATATGTCTCTCAAACATTTAGTCAATATAATATAATATATTAGTTCATCATTTTAAACTAGTACTGATTATATTTCTGCATAGTTGGTGGGAATGGGGAGTAAGTAAGGACTCATTCACAAGGGGAAATTAAAACTTTTTTCCTGTATCTAAGCAGTGAAAAAAGGTATGTATGTATAAAAGAACATTTTAGTCACATTTAAATTATTTTATTAACTTGTCAGAGAGCCAGGAAAATTTTTATATTAAAGAAATACCCTCAAATATATAATACATTAGAATGATGTTTCCAAATTTAAATAATTGCCCACTTAATATAGTTTAGTCCTGGCTCTGTTACTAATTCCCCTGACCTTGGACAAGACAGTTTTCCATCTTGAAAGGGTATCTGATAAGCTCTACTGCCAACCAGTAGCACTTCAGTTGAGGACTGCATCTAGTCATGGTTTATTATTATCCCAACTTTGGGTGGTAAAGGGAATAAAGTAAGAAGATTGCAGAGGATTTTTAGTTCTTAATAAATTATTGATTCATTTTGGAAAGAGCACTTCAGTTGAGGACTGCATCTAGTCATGGTTTATTATTATCCCAACTTTGGGTGGTAAAGGGCATAAAGTAAGAAGATTGCAGAGGATTTTTAGTTCTTAATAAATTATTGATTCATTTTGGAAAAGTATTTGTAATTTGAAATTCTGGGGAAAAAAACAGCTCATATTGCTGAGAAAGTTTGGTTCTTCTGGGAGAAAGGAAAGGACTTTAACTGTCTAACACTGGCCATTAATAGGATATTAAATATAAAGGAAATAATGAAATAGCTACGTGATTTTTAGCTAGAATGCAGAAGTTATTCATTTAAGAGCAAAAAGGAATTTAAAGAGCTGAGTAATGTGATTTCTAAAATAACTGCCTGCTCCCACCCAAGACTTCGAGAGGCCCCCCTTACCTCCTTAGAGCTTGTCACACTCAGCTTTGCTGTTCATTTTCTTTGTGCACATCTCATCTCTCTTCCATGCATGGAAGTGCCAGAGGCAGGAGCTGAGCCTGGTTCAGTGCTGTATCCCCCACAGATCTTACCATGGCACTCTCGTGAACACAGTTGATGTTACATAAATGCTTGCTGGATGTAATCTAAAGACTTTTAGAGTAACAGGCAGCATCTCTCTTAGTTATCTGTGCTGCAAACTTAAAGAAGTTGATAGTGAAGAAGTTTCACAAATATGAAGAAGAGATTGATATCCACAATGAGTTCTTTCGACCGTATGAATTAAGTAGTTTTGATGATACCTTCTGCTTGGCTATGACAAGTTCAGCACGGTATGTTGTGAGTACTCTAATGCTGTAAGTATTTGGGAACTGTGGTTTTCCTAGTTCATACAGATACAAGGGTACTTCAAAAAGTTCATGTAAAAACAGAATTAAAAAGATAATACAAATCTGCCATGAACTTTTTGAAGTACCTTTGTATGTCTTACTTTACCAGAAATCCGTTCTGCAAGCCTTGCTTTCAGCCTCTATGTGAATACCTCCTTCAATAGTGATCCCACTACTTCAGGACACAGCCCCTTCTGTTGTTAGACAACTGGCATTAATATCCTCCCTTTGATAAGCTGGAATCTGCCTCCCATTAGTCCTGGTTTGCCATTTGGAATAAACTCAGTTTTTTTATTGAACATAGAAATTGAGAGCTAACATGAATTAGAAGAAAAAGCATCATCTTCTGTACTAGAAAGCCTGGGATTTGAATCTTAGGTCAGCCACTGCCTAACTGTGTGACCTTGAGAAAACATCCAACTTATCTGAGCCTTATTTTCTTCATCACACACACACATGCATGCACACACACCAAGTGCCTAATGTAGTACCTGGCACAGGTAGGTGATTAATAAATGTTAGCTATTATTATATTACTACTTTTATTAGGTACAGGACAAGTCTAGATCCTCTTCAGTATGATAGCCCTCCAGATATTTGAGGAAGCAATACTAATCTTTTTCAGGGTAAATTTCTTTATTTTTTTTTTTTATAACTCATGTGACATGATTTCCAGACTCTCTCCATCTGGTCTTCATAACTCATGTGACATGATTTCCAAAATCCCTCTATCTGGTCTGTCACCTTTGGACATACTTCATTTTTCTGTGTCTCTTTTAGAATTTGATGGGACCTTTTAGTAAAAATGGTGGGACCGGAATAAGAAAATTAGGCAAAGTAAATCTCTTCTTGATTATTATATTTTATACTAAAGTTTAAATGTTTATATTTTACATTTTCTTCAGATGTGTTATATGTGTATCTTAATTTTATGTGGCACATGTAGATACATATTCTGTGGTTTTGTTTCTTAGAAATCTTGCTACATTTTGTTTCAGTTTCAGATGGTCAGGAAAAGTTAGAAATTTTTACTTGCTTGATTTTTCAGTTAAACTTATTAAAGTGCAGTGGTTTTAACTGTAAGGTCTTTGTTATTTCTAGAATTTTTTAACTCAGCAAAGGATAAATGACATTATGTATATATGTTTATGTAGATATATAGTTAATTTTATTTGCGGTAGTTATATTCTATAAAGTCACTGCAAACACTGAGTTAGTGAATACTGAACCATTGCTCCTAAGGGAGATACAGGATTAGGTTCCTGTGAGCCTCTGATCACAACGTTTTCATCAACTGATCAATACATAACCTCATTTTGTGTGTGTTTCTGTTTAAGGATACCTTATTTAATATAAACTATTGATTCATTAACATTGCACTCACGGCCAACAGCACTATATAACTCATGCCTGAATGAAGCTTATGAACACATGTATTTTCTCCGTAAGGCACATCACAGATTTCTTGTGCTTAGAAACACTAGACAGCTTCAGCACTATGCATCAGGACCATTTTAAACAGCAAGATCTCCAACAAAAAGCACAAACAATGTGAAAAACATGGCACTAAATAGACCGTGAAAAAGACACTTGTTTATGGTATAAAAGCAGAAATAGAAAGGCAGAGCACACCTTGTTCAACCTCAGCTGGGAACATAAGCATTGGGTGACTCAATTTTTTCACCCTTCTGTGCATGAACATAGTGAAAATGACTGCAAAGGCACATGAATGTTGATTTGGGGGTTACAAATAAGTCTTAGTGAGTAAGCAAATGTATAAACATGGAATCTGCAAATGATGAGGATTAACTATATATGTTCAAAAAGAAAGAAAAAAATTAAACTAATTACATTTTTTAAAACATTTGCAAACTGTTAAAATGGCCATTTTGAGCCACATTCAAGGTTACTTTCTTTTCCTTCAAAAAATGTAATATTCAGTCACACACTCAGAGCAATATATCCTTGCCAGAAGCTATGAGTCTTATCAGCGTAAATCATGGAAAACATTTGCAAACTGTTAAAATGGCCATTTTGAGCCACATTCAAGGTTACTTTCTTTTCCTTCAAAAAATGTAATATTCAATCACACACTCAGAGCAATATATCCTTGCCAGAAGCTATGAGTCTTATCAGCGTAAATCATGGAGCTGTTTCCTTTTTGGCATCTATGATGGAATTTGGTCTGGCTTCAGCAGTATAGTAGTAGCCCTTGCATAATAAGAAAGACGCTTCAGCTTATCTCAGTAAGTGGTAAATTAAGATAGTTTCTATTTAAAATGTTCCAGTAGTTTTTTAATGAATTAACCTCAGCCTAATGAGATAGATGTTGATACTTCAATTCACACTATTCTGTTTCTTTATCATTATGTCTACCTCCTTAGGTGGTACAGCTTAAAAATGTTGTCCATTTTAAAACGGAACAGCTTAGTGTTTTGCCATTGGTTTTATGAGTTCCATTTTACCTGAGAACTCATCGTGATGTATAACCAGATGGTGTACATCTTAGTAGTAGTTCAGTTGTCAACACTGTTCCAGTAAACAAAATCTTAAATTCAAAATTATTGGGCCTCATAATCTCAGAGAAATCAGAGGGAACGCTGATAACATTAAGATTACCCTGTGCCATTGGTTCATGGGCTTTTATGGCCCTGTTCACCTGATGCTCCCTTGAACATTTGGTTCAGAATATATGTAGTTCCGAGGGTTAAGAAGGAATATTATAAGAGTGTCAATTGAGATGGAAGCCAGTATCATCTGGATGAACAGTGATTCATATAGAATTTTGTTTTTTTCACCTTTCTTCAGTGACTTCATGCCTAAGACTGTCGGCATTGATCCAAGTCCGTTTACTGTGCGTAAACCAGATGAAACTGGAAAATCAGTATTGGGGTAAGATTTGCATATAGAATGAAATTTTAAAGATTCATGTAAAATAATAGCCCTTGCAATATAATTTCCACCAAAACTAACAACTTCAAGTCACATAGTTGGGGGCACAGTTCATTTACTGCATCTATACAGGTAGTTTTTTTATAGGCCTGGGATTGCTAAAGCATTCAACATTGAAAGAAGAATTTATGGGAATTTCAGCAACATGGTACGTTTTGTTATTCCTAATTTAAATTGGGAATATAACAGATGGTATAAAGGCATAGAACAGATATTATGTGTTATATTTTATAAATAATTCAGCATTCTCTGTTTTCTGACATAAAATAATTAAGTAAAAACTTATATTCGTTGTATTTATTTTTGTTGACATCCTGATGTATGTAAAAGCAAATATACTCTGATAGAGAATTTAATAGATTTTCTGTGCATTACTGTAACATTATTTTAGGAGGAACTTATTTTATTGTATCCAAAGTATGAAAAAGAAGACATTTGCATCTTTGTGCTTAGAGAATGGAGTGAAATGTTTTGTCTTCTGGCATAAGAATTTCTTTCACCACTGACTTGCCTAGTCCCAATGATAAAATTTCTTAGAGACTCTGACCTGAAACCCTGGCCAGATTGTACATACAGACTTTGTAGATAATTGTATTTGGGAATTTGTATGGGATTTTAATTGGATTCTCGCTACATGTGGTTTATACAATGGGATGTCTGTTAATATTTTCCAGATACACCATTTCTGTGGCTTAAATATGTGGCCTTTAAATAGCTTCATGTTAAGCCCTGACCAGATGCTAAGAGGAATTCAAAGAAGGAATTCCTCAGGACTTGAGAATTCAGGGTGTTCCCAGGACAAATAAGTAAATGACCAGCTGTATTAGTGTGCAGCACAGAAATGCTATCAACTTTAGTTTTTAGTTGCAGAAGTTCAGAAACTAATTTGTTTTCTATAATATGTAACCCATGATCAAATAACATTGCATTTTTTTTAGAACATTTCAGAATATTATGGTATTTTTAGTCCCTTATAAAAAATATTTTTTAAAGTAAGGAATATTAAACATTTTCACAAAAGCCAGAAGTATTATAGGTACTATAAAATATTTTCTGAATTAAAAAAAAATTCTTACTACTCCCAAATTTGGCACTAAAATAAAAGTAAATATTTTATAAATGCAGGGATATTTTTCTTTTTTCTTTTCCCCCCCATCTATTGCCTACTATTAAAGGGAGTGTTCAGCAAATATACTTGTTTACTAATAACACAATAAATTTTAAAATTTAGTTTATGTTCATCAGTTGCTTGTTATTTTGCTACACTGTAATTGATAAAAATTCACAGGAGGCAGAGAGATATACATGGATTTGGCTATTGTCCTTTTCTTGAAGCTTTTATAAGTTATAGGTAATTTTACTAATATCAAACTTAGTCTTCTATTATTATAATGCCATAAATTTTGAAAATATCGATTTCAGTTACCAAAGGAAGGCATAGTAGCTAAATGGTGAAAAAACTTTTCTGCACCCTGCAAGTACATTGTGCCTTATTGTTTGAATTTATAACAGGGCTTAAATTCATATAAGGTCAATACATGTACATGGAGAAATATTAGGCTTTTCCCTTTAGCACAGCTTGAATCCAGACCCTAGTTTCTCCCTGTCATTTTCTTGTGCTTCACTGGCACTAAGGTTTTGGGACAGAATGATACACAGTGAGTGTTAAGAGTTTAGTTTAAAGGTGCTTCACATTCATATTCATCTTTTTAAAGAAACAAAAGCAATAGAGAAGAAGCTGTACTACAGCGGAAAACGGCAGCCAGTGCCCCACCACCCCCCAGTGAGGAGGCTGTGTCCAGCAGCTCTGAGGATGACTCTGGGACCGACCGGGAAGAGGAGGGCTCTGTGTCTCAGCGCTCTACTCCTGTAAAGATGACTGATGCAGGAGACGGTGCCAAAGTGACCGAGGTGTGGGAGAGGGAAGCTCGCACAGTACAGCATGAGCCTCTGCAGAATGATCTTTCAGTTAAAAGTCTGAGAGCAAGAAAATGTCACATTATCTCACTCATACTATTTTAATGTGTAATGTTTGAGGCACTGAATAGGCTGAATACATTTGGCAGAGATATTATCAAAAATGGTTGCATTTTGAAATAAAATTGATGATTTTGCTCCCATATGTAATGGTGAATTTCTTATCACTTCAGAATTTTTAAGAGAATCCCATTCCTCTTTGAGTAGCCAACCAGCTTGAGGTTTATTTATTCCCTTGCTCTGCATTGTTGGGATGCAGGGTTTAGACCTGGCCCTCACAATCTTTGAATAGCCCTGGTGGATAATTCATCCTGTTCAATTCAATATTACTAATATATTAAGGGAAAACAAATGGAAATAAACAACAAAAGAACCAAAGCTAGCTTTGGGAAAATTTGTTTTCTAGAAATAGGCAAAAGTCATTTAGAGATAGATAAGGCAAATAAAATGTGATGAAATAAAAACTGAATCCCTTATTCCAGGAGTTGGCAAACTATGACCTATTGGTCAAATCCAGCCTGTTGCCTGTTTTTGTGAATAAAGTTTTATCCGAACCAAGCCATGCCTTCCTGTTTACATATTGTATTTGGCTGCTCTTGTTTAATAGCAGAGTTAAGTAGTTGCAACACAAACGGTATAACCCAAAGAGCTAAAATATTTACTCTCTGGCCTTTTACAGAAAAAGTTTGCTGAACCCTACATTATACAAAAGCAACTAGTAATTATTTAATAGTTCTTTACCCTAAAATAAACTATTTTTAATGGAAATAAGATTTTTTTAAAAAAACCACTGAGTTTAATTAACAGATTAAAGAAATATTGTGAATGCTTTTGTGGAAAAATTCACAGGTTCATTTTCTTCATCTTTGGAAATTATTAATATGCTAGATGTCTAAAAATCTTTTCTTGTTTTTTATTTTTATTTTTTTAAACCCTAGAATGTGGTCCAACCCATGAAAGAGGTATATGGAATTAACCTCTCAGATGGCCTCTCAGAAGAAGATTTCTCCATTTATTCAAGGTAAGATACTTTTATTTAAAGATTAAAGGAAAAAAATGAAAATTTACTATCACAATAACTTGTATCTAATACAACCTTTTAAAAATAAAAAGTCGACAATACGGGGGGAAATGAATTCCTCTTGGAACACAATAGTAGCATTTAAGAGGTTAAAATCGGAAATATTGATTTTTATAAGCAACATGGTCTAGAAGAATGAAGTATCTAGGGTTAGTGACTGAGTAATATGACTGTTTATTGCAGAGAGCATGAGTGTGCAAGTGAAATTTTGGCTCAGGTTAATTAAGCAAAAAGAAAGTGTCCTTTCCTTCAGGTGACTTTCACTTAGAGCCTTATTAGCTCAGACAGTCTCTGAGGCCCACCTTTATACTTCTCTCTTCTCAAGGAGTGAGATACAGCCTTGTTCAGCCACAACATTCTGGGAAACAGTCAGTCTAAGGAGAAGGCAGGGCAGACCTGCAGGGAAGTGAGGGTTCCGTGTCCTGGAATAAAAGTCTGTGTTTGATATTCTGAAGAACAACACTTCTTCCTTTCATTGGCATAGCTCTTTACAGTGTTTTATTTGTTCTCTAAACAACTCCATAGTAGATTGAAAAGATGTTATTTTCCCCCTTTATAGGCTAAGAGTGCAGGAAAATAGAGCCGTTCAGTGAGTTAACCAGGAGATACATCCTGTACTTCTGGGTATCTTGTGATTTTAGACTGTGCCTTCCTCTTTATTCTCTTAATCATGTTAGGATGCAGAGCTGGGGGGACAGGGAGAAACAGGGGCCCTGGCCATTCTTTCCCTCTCTCAGAGTACCTCCTTTCTGTGGGCACACTGCCCCTACAGGGCTTCTCCCACCCTACATGCCTGCCCACAGCATCTCTCCTCTCCATCTGTCATGGGCAGTGCTGTGACAGAGGAAGCCTCCCTCCATCAATATCTGTGGGGTAGCTGTGCCATGGGCGACCAAGGGATGTTCAGGGACTTGCTAGCACCCACTCTTGCCCTAGCTGGGCGCTGGGGCTATCTTAGTGCTTCCTCTGATCCAGGGCTTAGGGTGAGGGCCCATATAGTTTTGACCTGAACTGGCAGGTGCCCCTGCCACCCCAGTTCTCCACCCAGTTGGCTGGTACCCACCCAAGTTTGTGCATGTAATGGACAGTGTTCTGGCCGGCTTGCAGACCGCAACTCCCACCTGGGCCACCATGAGCTCTGTGGGGAAGGGAAGTGATGCAGCTAGAACTGGTGTCTGCAGACTGTCTTCCAGCTTCCTGTTCTCCTGTCTGTTTTTCCTACATTGGGCCTCAAGCACCTTCAGACTCCTGAGGATATCTCAGTTTTGCAGTTTTGTTCTAAGTTGCTGAGCCCTGCTCTGTCTTCCTTTTCCCTCATCTCTCCTAGTGTCTTTGGTTTACTATCTTCACCAGACCTGGAAGCTTTCTGGTTACTTCCTCAGAACCTTGTTTACCTGCCTTTTTTTTTTTTTTTTTTGAACCTGACAGTGATTATACACTTAATTTAGGAAGTTTAAGGTTCTGTACAAATAGTTGATATTATGTGACATTCTTCCAAAAAAGGGGATCAAAACTTTTCACGTGCTGAAGATAAAAGTTGGATGAAAGTAAGCTATTTGAAAGTTTTTCAACAGCACTGTAATGATTTAATAATTGGTAGTTTCTACAGCACTTTTCTTGACCTTTAAAAAAGCTAATGAAAAATAAATGATAAGATTATCCATAGTCATCAGAAGAATATACTTTTAAAAAATAAAAAAATAAAAAGGAAATCAGCTCTTTAATCCTGCCCTGTAACCTTTCATGGGCACATTAGAACAAAACTCCAAGACTGTATCCCTGAGGGGAAGATGGCTGCATGCAACACAGGCAGGCTTCAGACAGCTGTGCGCTTCAGAGACAGCTGCTGGGTGTCCTCCCACCTGCTGAGCTGGCCTGGGGCAATTCCCTTCAGCTTGGACTTGGCTATTCAAGTCTTCTCTGACGAAGGGTGACATGGCGATGGTGCTCACCAGCTTGTCTCCTCCATCCTAATTGAAAATGCTACTCTTAGGAGTGGCTGGAGTATATTTGGTGGGGGGATTCTAATGGTCCTCAGGAAACTGAATCCATGTCAGGGGCTCTCAGGGGTGTGCTTGCTTTAGGAGGTGGCTCCCTAGCCTGATCCTGCCCTTTCCATATCATTTATCTCACTGCAAGCACCTACCCGCATGCTTTCTGCATTCCATGCATTAGATATGTGTCACCCTTAGATGTATGAGGCCCTGCAAGATCATCTTCCTGGCTTAAGGAACATTTCTGTTGAAGTTCTGCACACGTTTAAATGAATAGAAATGCAGTAAGGTGTACATTTTATTTCATTCTTATATCCGTGGTTATGACTTACATTTTTAGCTGAATCTCTCCTCCTTTATTTCTAAAAAACCCACTCTAAAATCATCAGTCTTGAGTTATATAAGGTACTTTTATGTGCTGTTCTGAAATAAGCATACTATTGTCATTGGAAAGCTAACACCATTTTGTGTGATCAACTGAATTAATTGCAAATACTTCCTTCTTTGGCTTAATTTTATCCATTGTAATTTGTAGATTTGTTCAGCTGGGGCAGAGCCAACATAAACAAGACAAGAGCAGCCAGCAACTCTGTTCCAGGTGCTCAGATGGAGTTATAAAATTGTAAGTATTAAATTAGACCTTTAAAAAAATCTTTCTATTCATGCCATTTATAGTGCTTATTTTGAAGACATTTTAAGAAAAATATTCAGTGTTATCACCAAATTAGTATAAGCACTAAAGCATCTCCTCCTGGTACCTTACTTGAAGAAAACTGGATCTCTGTGGGGGATGGGGAAGAGATTGGCCGCCTCAACTGTACTTGAAATGCACCCTTTGGAGGTAAGATTGGAGTTGGTGGAGGCTTCCCTGCATGAGCTCTGCCCTCCACTGGGTGGAGGTGGGATGATGAAACAGCTCTGACCCTGGAGACAGACTCCTAAGGGTCAGTATAAAAGCCCTGAGGGCAAAGATGGGTTTGTCTCTCCTAGCTGTATATCCCCATTAGTTGTAATAACTTTCTACAAGTTAAACAGGTGTGTAATAAATTCTTAAATAAACAGAACCATGTTCAGATCATGCCACTTCCTGGTTTTTTACCTTGAGCAAGTAACTTAAGTGCTATGTGGCTCAGTTTCTTCATCTGCAGAAGTGGATAATAATGACAGCTGCTTTACAGGAGGGTGATAAGACTTAAATACAGAGTGCTTAAAACAGTGTCTGGAATAAGTTCTCAATAAGTTATGACCTCTGTAGTATAATTTGAAGCCAGGTAGTATAATGCCTCCAGCTTTATTTTTATGCTCAGGATCGCTTTGGCTATTCAGTGTCTTTTGTTGTTCCATATGAATGTTAGAATTGTTTTTTCTATTTCTGTGAAGAATGTCATTGGTATTTTGATGGGGATTGCATTGAATTTGTAGATTGCTTTGGGTAGTGTGGACATTTTCACATTAATTCTTCCAGTCATGAACGTGGCATGTCTTTCCATCTTTTTGTGTCCTCTCTAATTTCTTTCATCAGTGATTAGTAGTTCTCATTGTAGAGATCTTTCACCTCGTTAAATTTATTCCTAGGTATTTTATTTTTTGGTAGCTGTTGTAAGGGGGCTTGCTTTCCTGGGAAACAGCCAGTCTAAGGAGGAGGCAGGGCAGGCCTACGGGAAAGGGATTAGTGCAGAGGAGGGAAGGATCTATTGTCCTGGAAGAAGAGTCTGTGTTTGATATTCTGAAGAACACCTCTTCCTTAGAGAGTAGTGGCTGTGAGGATTTCGAGAATTGGATGGACTTGGAAAATATTTAGTAGGTAAAATAGACAGGACTTCTTGAATCCTAAATAATTGTGGAGGGGGAGGGAGGGTCAAGGATGACCCTTAGGTTTTGGTTTGTAACAGGTTTTGATTGATTGATTGATTCATTCATTTATTCATTCAGCAGATAGGTATTGAGTGTGTCTGTGTTAGGACCATTCAAAGCTGCCGTTTACTGAGGTAAGGAGCACTGCAGGAGGACCCAGTTTGCCTTTAAAGTAGCATCAAAGTGGAGGAGTTGGATCAACTGATTTGGAACTCAGAAAAGAGCCGGGGCTGGGGATATAAATGCTCACGAGTGGTAATTAAAGCCACTGGTTAAGGATGAGACTGCCTATGAAGAGAGACTAGAGTTAGAATAGTCTACAGCTGCTCCTGGTGGGGATCTGGGTCTAATCGCTGGGACACAGAGAAAGAAGAACCTTCGAGGAAACAGAGATGACGAATCAGAGAAGAGGAAGGAAAGCGAGATTTTTATCACAGCCTCCATAAGGGCTTTTTATCCCTGCTTTCTCTCCCGTCACTATTTTTTTCCTCTTTTTTGGCATATAAACTCCTACTAATTGAGAGACCATTTTTCTTTGTTATAGCTATTTAGCATATGGAAGTATGGGCTCTTAAATGAATTGAAATAGATGTGACCAAAGAAGGAAAGTATTTAAATGTGTTAAGTGAAAAAAGAGACTCTGTTAACCAAATTGTATTATACCAATTGATTATTCCATTAAAATGGCATGGCACAACTTGTGAAGAAATTGTGATGAAATGAATGTAACGTACAAAATAAAATAAAAACGCCAAATTGTATTATACCAATTGATTATTCCATTAAAATGGTATGGCACAACTTGTGAAGAAATTGTGATGAAATGAATGTAACGTACAAAATAAAATAAAAACATTTCCTCCCTGTTTTCTTCACCATTGTTTCTACTTTGATCTGTAAGCGGTCTTACAATTTTTACTCTCACATTCTTTCTCTTAAAATATTTAGTATATGCTCTTCTGAGTCCTAGAACAGATGAAAACCATGTGGATCTAGAATTTTTCAACCTTTTCCACTTAATTAGTAAAGAATCTATCACGAGTGTGTTTTCACACAGCATCTTCAGCAGGATAACAAAGAACTTGGTAGGCTCTGCATTCTGTTGTCATGGAAACCATCCGAGAGTGTTTTTGGTGGTTTTTTTTTTGAGGGGTGGAGGGGGTTTAAACTTTGTAACCAGTTCTTAAAATGTCAGTTATTCATTTTTAGATCTCTAAAGCTGTGCAAAAAACAAGAGGAATTAGATTTATATGAGATTCTTGAAATTCTCCTCTTGTTATATTTTAGGTTCTAGTATATTTAGAAATGGTGATGTTTATTTTAAGTTCATATAGATATGTGTCTACTCATCTCTGTATAGTTCATAATCCAACAATTTTTCTTGAAATCATGAGGCAAACCAATTTTCTTTTTCTAAATATGAAGTATTTGCAACACCAAGTGTAAAAAATATTGACAGTAAATAATTGGCAAGAAGCCAGTGGAACAGGGGCTCCTGAGCAGAGGGGTACAGAAACCGGGCTGGGGTAGATGAACACTTTTGCCCAAGTTCTTGCAGGACATTGCCCAGAAGTGGATGTTAAATGCTATACTTTGTCTGAGCATGACCCTTCCTTTGACTCATACCACTCCCTGAGTGTATGGGTGGTACTCAGGGGGTGATGTCACCAGCCAACAGTCAGTGTGTGATGGGCACTGTTCTATGTTCCTTAACATGCATTAACTCAATTCTCACAATAACCCTAGAAAGTAGATATCATCATCTCCATTTTATAGATGGGGAACTGAAACACAGAGAAGTTATGTAACTTGCCCAAGGTCAAACAGCTAGCAAGTGGAAGGACCAGGATTCAAACCTAGACAGTGTGGCTCCAGAGCTGCTGCTGTCCATCATTGTGCTATAAATGCCTGGTGTTACCAGCTGCTTTTATAACTACTGGGGTAGAAATGCTGGGTTCTTAGCATTAACAGCCCTGGCTTCGGTCCTCTGACATGACCTGGATTTGAAGATGCCTCTGTATGTAGACATAATGTTTCTGCTCTGTTGATCTTGAATTTTTTTTTTTTTTTAATATTTGGAGACTATACTTTTATTCTTTCCCCAGTACCCAGTGTATTATCCCTCATGTAGACACATTGAAGCTTCCTGGGCAAGCATACTTTGCTTGACTGATTTGGTAACATGACTCCCTGAACATCCCTAGAATGCTTCCCAGTTCCCAACTGGTTTCTAGCCACCTTCCTGATGCCTTTTTAACCCCCTGCCCCCATCCTTGAATACTTTTTAGTTCTTCCTCTATTCTTTTTCTTCCTTATAAGCTCTTTGCTCCCTCCTGTTTCTTTGTTCCCCTACTGCCTTCTGAAAGAAGAAAAAAGTAAGAACACCAAGTTTTGAGCATTTTTCCCCCTTATTTTACTTCCACTGCACCTGTAACTAAATGCTGAATGAGAAGGACCCAAGTAAAGGGACTTGGTGTGCCCTGTGGCGGGCAGGGTGTTGTGTGATTCACTGTGTGCAAGACCAACATGTTCTCATTTTACACTCCTATCGGTTCTCTGGGAGTTTTTAACTAAGCAACAAATGCCAATCAGTAGTAGGTTAAAAAGACATGAACACACATATTATTAGTGCCAGCTATTCTGTGGCTAACCTATTCCAGGAATATGTCTCACTTGTTTAAAAATTATCTCCAAGAAATGGTTCAAAATATAATACAGAGTTTGTATAAATACTGTGTCACTAAGAATTCTTCCAGCACAGGATAAGCTGAAATGCAATGCAAGGTAAATAAGTGTGCTTACTGTTTTAGGACCATAGGGTTACATCTATTCCCTGAGTATGTCTCATAATAAGTGGTGTTTACTGACCTTGGACTGAATGCTCCTCTGTATGGGCTTCTGCTAGGGGAAGTGTTTCACAAATCAGAGCATGCTCTTAGTCAGAATTAGAGCACTTCTTCACACTGATGAGAAGGCATGACACAATGGCCATGATTAACTCAACTTCATTTACTTTTCATGATGTAATTTACAATAATCTGTTTCTCATATACGAGTCACCCTCTGGACCGCCTGCAGCCTTCTCCACTTGATTTCTTCTAGTCCTCTGTGGATAGTGCTCTGGTCTCTGTGCTGCAGGCTAAATTGGTATTTCTGCCTTAATGGGTAACTCTTTTTATCTTCTCCAAACACCCGGAGTACAGTCTCTAAAGGTTTAAGGATTAGAGCAGTTGGGAGGCAGTGATCAATGATTAATCAGCTAATTCCCTCCACAGGCAGGAGATAATAGGTGATAACAACTCCTTAGCCAGAGGAAACTAGGATGTAACCTCTTCTCTCACCCCAGAAATTACTACGACAGTCTTTCTTCCTTTTTCATTCTGGCTTTTACTTTTTTATCTCTTTGTCTTTAATGCTCTCTGACTTTTCCTGTGTATCTTTTCTATTTCTAATGATTTCTTTCTGACCCTCCCCCCTTTTTTTAAATTTTTACCTTCTCGCTTTCCCTTTTTCTCCCTCACCATCATCCCTTCCAGGGTATTTTTAGCCTTTTTTTTTTTTTTTTTTTAAATACAGTAATACTGCTAAACACAGGTTCCCTTCATATATTCTAGGACAGTGTTTTTGGGGGCTGGAATTCTTGACTCATTAGTGGGTCATGAAATTAATTTAGTAGGTCTCCACACAATGAAATGAAATTGAACTGAACCTAATGCAATATAAAGTACCAGTACATGGCACATAGTATGAGTAAGTCTCGTTTCATGA